TTATAGTCATCATACTATAGTTGAGCAGCTTCTGATATCACTGTAGTTAAAGGAAAAACTACAGGTTAACAATGTTTAACACTTATGAATCATGGCATTATATGTTGTCATTTTTTTGTCATTTTATTGGAAAGTGAAATAGCACAATTTCATATTAGAATTCTAGTAAAACATTGGTTTAATGATCGAGCCATGCTAAAAAATGATGATTATAGTAATGAATGTGCAATTTTAATTCGAAGTAGGGGAAAATTTGGTGCATTTGAGAATGATGTCCAAGTTGACTTTTCTTTAATCAATTTGATTTGTGGCCAATGCATTTTTATACTCAAGATACAACATTATATAAGAAGTCATGCTCTTTATGAGAAAGATTTTGGTCTTATAAAAAGAATCTTGAATTTAGCAATCCAAACTGGACATACTGAAGAGCTTTATGAATTACATCAGCAGTTCATCAATGAGATGGAAAAATAACTAGCAGAGCAGGAAAGACATATTCTACAGTCAGATGATGAGTATAATTATGAAACAATCAATAATTCACTAAAACCACAAACAAAGGGACGGAAGCATCAAAAACGTATAGCAGCATTCAATGATGGCGCATGAAAAAATGTGTTGAAGAAAACAACTAATGTGTTGCAGAATGATGATTTAGTGAGGATGGCTAGTTCCAACATTAGTAATGAATCAATTAATGTTGACAGTACTGAAGATACTGAAGAACAAGACCAAATGATGCATAAACACATTCAAGACATTCAAGGTCATGATCAAGGTAAATACATATATATTTATTGACTTTTTATTAAACATACTATAAATTAGACTAATATTATTAGGAATGAAAGTTGATATGGTTAATGAGGATATGGAGCAATCAATTTAAGATACTATATTAGTAGTTTAAATATTCTTTATATACTTCAATTAATATATAAAAACACATCTTTAGACAAGAAAAAATGCATTTATACACGTGAAAATTGTGGTAAAGATGGTCATCGTAGATCTCGTTGCCCTAATCATATGACATGATATCTTTACTTGTGCATATTTTATCTAACATTTGCGTATATTAGCATTTGCATGTATCTTTGTATATACAGTCAACTCTCGATATACCAGTAGTTACACAAACTGTAGATCCTACTATAAAAAATTTAATTTATACTATTTAGAATAAGATTGACAGTCTGTGTAACCACTGGTATATCGAGAGTTAACTGTACTGGCGTTTGTGTTTATCAGTGTTTATGTATATTAACGATTGCAATTTATTATATACTTTGTGATACTATTATGTGTTTGCTACTAGAGCTCTGTAAGTGTTTGGCAGGATTATTATAATATAATGCACTGTATACTGTGTTATAATAGTCCTATCTAAGACTTACAGAGCCTCAATGACTGTAAGTTTTATTGTTCATATTTATAGATGTAAGTGGAATAGTGGAATATAAGTGATGGCGAAATGTATAACCCTATGAAACTCCCGTGTTTGCTTATTTATGTCTGCTTGTATCTTGTAAAAAAAATAAAATTAATAAAAAAAAATTAATGTGATTATGAAATTTTTAATGCTACACTTCAAATTAATATACAAACGTTCTAAAAATATTAAACAAGGTATATTATATATGTTTAATTTCTGGTGCATATTTTTTAAGAGTTAGGATTAGGATAAGCATTAATATAGGTTTTTTTCATGTTAAGTTTAGGGCAGGCTATAGAAAAGATCTTTTTTTTTTGCGAATTGTGTGTCTAATCTTTCTGTATATGTAGATGGGTAAGAAATAAATACATATAACGTATGCATATTTAATTTAGTAATTCGCTGCGTAATATCATTAGTATTGATATAGTTTCCGAGTATCATTCATAAATTCAGCAATTTCATTGGCAAATAAGGCAATATTTTATGTAGGGTATTATTTTAAATAATAACTACGTATACTTGTAACATATATACGTGCGAATTTAGATAAATATATGCACAATGCATTAACTGTTAAGTGAAATTATATTGTATCGATATATATAAATTACTGTATAAATAATAACAATAAGTGATTATTACACCATAGGTGAAATCCACCTATGGTAATTTTCACCATAGATGAAATCCATCTATAGTGATTTTATACTATAGGTGGATTTCACTTATGATGAAAATCACTATAGGTGCGTTTTAGTAAAAGTCAAAAACAATACAAATTTATTCATACTTAATTTTTTGATATAATAAACTTTTACATTTTAATAAAATTATCTTTATTTATATTCTTTTTAAATTTTTTCAATTTATACTTAATTAAACTTTTTTACTTTCAAGTAAACTAAGCATACTAAACTTTTTGTACCCAATTATACTAATTTTATAAAATTTTATCTATTATATTACATACCAATTAACATTTTTTTAAAAAACATATTTTCTCAATTTTCATCGAATTTTACTAAACAATCTTACTTTCTTTCATTACTTAAAAATATCCAGCTCACTAAGACGATTATTTCAATATAAATTTTATTTTTAATAGACCAAAACTCATTAATTATCAATATTTTTTTCCAAACTTCTATTCAAACTCCTTTTTGAAATTTTATTGGTCAATTTCAGAAAATTTACAGGGATGCCTCAGAAATTTTACTTTTTATCAACCTCGAAAATATTCAAATACCCAACATTTCTTCAAATTCTCTCAAAGAAACCTGAAAAATTTACTGGTTATCTGAAAAATTCATTGCCAATTTCGAAAAATTCAATTTTTTTGCCTAATTCTTATCCTTTTTATCTACTCTTTTTTGCTACCTATATTATAAAATACTTTATCTATACTACAAACTACTTAAAAAATCCTTTTTATATCTCTATTCCAAGCTATTTACAACTTTAACCATCTTTCTATTACTATAAGTTATAATCTCAAAATGAATCTACAAATTACAATCCAAGAAAATCATCTTTTAGACTGGTTCAAAAGCTATCTTATTTCAGAAAACTCTTCTTTATCTACACTTATGATATTTGGAATTCAAACATTAGATTTTTTAAAACCAATCTTCAAAGACTTCTATTTCAGTTCAATTATTAAATTTATAACAATTTACAAACCAGCTGTAAAAAGTAATTTCAACTTATTAATTTAAATTATAGCAACCAAAAAACCTAAATTTATTATAGACACAATCCTAAACAAAAATCTACATATTACTAAAACAACAAAAATAGCTTTCAAAATCCTTCTCAGTACAACAAAAAACTGGCTTACCAAATTTACTTATACTTTTTTTTATAAAACAAATTACAAACAACTCTTTAACTCACAATATTTTATTTCTTCTTATTCAATTAAAAAACGATTTCAAATTGCTATAAACCTTGCCAGACTTTACTTATTTCTATATAACAAATATCAAACTACCAATTACCAAAAATTTTTTTATGACTTACAACTTAAACCCATCTATCTAAAAACTTTTATATATATAAACCATATTTCAAACACTTTGAAAAACAATATTTCTATTTTACAAATCCATAATACCTCTAAACTTCATATCAACATTACTATAAATATTTTTCTCCAAAAATTAATATAAACTATCATATTTCATCTTTTCACTTAATTAAATCACAATTTGACATCTGATTTTAAAAATTCTTTACATATTACAAAAAACAATTTAGTAATATCAATAAATAAAAAGTTTACAATTATATCAAATTTCAAATAACAACAGCAACTAATAACAAATGCAAAAAACTAATTCTTCAAAAACCTGAACTACCACCTATCCAATCCATTCAAAACCAAACAACCTATGCTATCAAAACAGCAATACACCATATATACACCTGCACCAATTTGAAAAAATATAAAATTCTTAACTCAAAAACAACTCATAACATTTACAATTTAACTTCTTACTATTTTAAACAATTCTTTAACACTATATCTATTCAACAAGATATATATCTATCTTTAAATCTTTCTGCTTTAACCTCAGCAATATTCTATATACTCTACTTTTTAAAGAACTTTATAAACTCACTGACCAATCCAAACAAATCTTTATTCAACTAAACAATACATTTACTAATCCTAAACATATATTTTATTTTTTTTACTGCTATCTTAAAGCTTACTTTAAATCTGCAGCAATAAACAATGAAATTATTAATCTTAATCTCAAAGAAGCATTGAACAAAATCTTCTTTTAAATAAGTGATTCACAAATTCTAGCCAGAATCATTGCCTATTACAACATCACTCAAGTCTCTAAACCAACTATTACTCAACTTAAAAAAAAACTTAACAAGTCTACTTCAATCAAGTGAACTAATACATTATCAAAAAACTTAATATTGTTATATCTACAGTATCAGAAACTGACTTTATCTACACTTTCAATGTATCTAAAATCATTGATGAACTTGATAATAGCCTTTTCCTCTAGCAATATCTATATATTTTCTGTTAACTCTTCTTTATTTATTTACTTATTCAATCTATATCACTTATCTTAGCTATATTTTTACAATTCTGTTAACTTTCTTTATCTATTTGCTTATTTAATTAATACTATTTTTTACTTTTTTAACTACACTTTATTTTTTATTTAATTTATCTTATCTTTGTTTTCTTTTTTTTATAATGATGTAATTAACTTCTAATAGTGTAAATAGTTAGTGAAATCTATGAGTAGCTTACTAGTATATACTAGGGTAATGAACATTATTTAGAAAATTTCAACTAATCTAGGTGAGCCTTAGTCACTCTAGTAGGTTTAAGCTGCAGATAAATATGTCTGAACTTTTACTCTTGCATATAGCATTTATATTACTTAGAGTTATAGTTTTATAATTAGTGATATAATAGTTAGCCCTGACTGCAAGTGTTGGTTTTAGTCATAGCATATATAGAACTTCTTTTTGTATCCAGTAACTCTATGTAGTTACTACTTAATACTATGAATAAAGATAGGAGCAAGGCTTTACCTTAATACCAAAAAAAAAATATATATATATATATTGGTTTTGCTATTACTATTTAATTGGCTTGTTCTAAAAAGTAAATTTAGGATCTGTGTGTAATTAAATTTTTAAATATATAGAATATTATAAGATATTTAAGTATTAAAACAATTGTATTAAATAGAATATATATAGCAAATAAATACAATAATATTTAAAATTACTAAGTTATATTAAATATAGTTATTTTTAGAATTTGTAAATCTTTTTAATCTTCATGCCTATTATTATTTACTTTGATATGCAAGAATATTCAGAACTCTTGTAAATACTGAAGTGGAACAAAAGAGATAATTTATCATATTTTTAAAATTATAGTTTTGTAAATCAATTACAAGAATATTGAATTTAATTTATTAAAATGTTATACAACTCTTTAGTCTATTTAGTATTTAGTGATGATGAACCTGACCCTTGATATTCACAATCTAGTATTAATTTTGTTAACATGCTTTAAGATTTTAAGCATTTATTCAAGAATTGGTTTATTACAAAAATTGTACTAAATGATAATAATAAAGAATTAAATAATAATATTATCATATATTATTAATAGTTCTAATTATTTATTGCAATTATAATCTATTATTTTTTTTTTTTTTAAAAAAAAAAAAGTAAGGCCTGGTTTTGGTTTTTATTGAACAATTTGGTATTACATTAATAAAAATAAGTTACATAAATTATTACATAGACCTATAGCTAGGACTAATTTATCCTCAGCCCAAAACTCTACTAGAGTAGGCTGTCAGACCTCTTCTAGGTTTAGT